CTGACATCGAAAAAAAACTAAGAAATTCTTTGGACTTAACTGTACGAATACATTTTGACCTAGTTACAGTACATCCTTTACCTAACTGTAGGTGAAAAACAACTCACATAATCCATTTGAATTATAGTAAAATAAAATAAAGTAAACCTAAATACCTCTAAGATACGGTCGAGATCTGACGAGGAGTAACGTCGATTGTTCTAATATCAGGCCAATGGAGGTTCCATTACCTCTTCGTTAAAGATGTTTTGCCAATTGGGACTCAGGAATTGGACAATTCTCTCCTTTATTACTTCACAAAGTCTCTTCTGGAGGACGTAATCTTCCGAGCTAGAAATGACTTTAATCCTCGCAGTATCATGAAATCTTAGGACTATTAGCTATACAAGCTAGCTTTGCAGGCTGTATTGTACAGATACCTTCCCCCAAGGCTAGGAGGACTTCAGGAAAGTAATTTGAGTGAAATATCCAAGATAGAAAGAAATAATTAAAACTTAAAAGAGTTGTAGGGGATATCCTAATGTCCGAATTGGTCAATGTTCCTGTGTAATTCAAGGGGAAACGATCTTTTAATTTTACGAATTTCTTCAAAATAATGTTGGATTGAGGCATATTGAGGTATGCATATTGAGGCATATTTTTTTAATTTTCTTCCTATACTAGGTAATGAAAGTATTGCAATCAAATTTCCGATATGTGGTTTTTGACGGATCTATACGTTTCAGAGCCTCCTGAGTCCGAAAAACACATTTTTAGCCATTGCTCAGCCCGTCTATCTGTCTGTCTGTGAAAAGATTTTCTCGGGAACTACTGAACCGTTTTTGTTGCTTCTTTTGACTACTGATGCCTTTGAATGAAATTCGGTGCTCCATGCGCAATAAATTAAAAACATGTTTACATACCGTAGCGCGAAAACTGCTCTAATGATTTTGATAAAACGTTCCTACAATGTTTATACAATAATTGTCCTTTCAATTTTCGTATATGGACTACATTCACGAGGAAATTCAAGGAAAAAGTTATAAAGAAAAGAAAAATGTTATGGGACCTAACTAAATACTATAAGGTAAAATTTATAATAAAACTTTTGAAAGGTAATTAAATTACCAACAAAACAAACAAAAAATTATCGGAATCGAACCAGTATTAGCGATGATACAGCTCATTCTATTTTTTACACATGTTTTAACTTATTACTTTCCCACCTATACTAGATAAGAAAAGTATTGCAATCGCCGTTGTTATTTGAAAGGCAATGAAATTCCCTACAAAACTATATAAAAATCGTTCATTTTGGACTACTATAAATGAAGTTATAGCTATTCAATTTCCAATGTAAGATTACGGGTTCGTATCCTGGTGTCACAAAGGGGTGAATGAGAGAAAAAAAATAACTAAGTGAAAGTAAGAACATCTGTTGCCCCCATCACACAAACTTCACTATTTCCTCTACTTTTAACAGAAATTATTGTTTGACAATACTAAGCTGTGTCAAAAAGTTTTTGATCAGCAATATTAGAGGGTATTGAAATTTTTACACTGATCTACCTTAAGCCGGTTTACATTGCTTTAGTTTATCAAATAAATCGTACTCAAATCTTTTCTTTGAACAATTTTCAGGAAAATAAATCTAGTTCAATTTTTTTTTTTTGTTTCTTCATGAACATATGTAAAGATATAAAAGCTTTTCTGAAACAAGTAGGAAAGTCTTGTGGGTGGACACACCAGATTTTTTAAAAAGTAAAACTGACATAAACAAAAAGAAGTAAAATCGACATAATTTACTTTTCAGGTCTATGCGATTTAATGGTCATTTAATGAATGAATGAATAACAAATAATTTTATCTTGGGACTTAGGACCCTTAAGAATGATTCAAAAACTATGCACATTAGTCTGGCAAGAAGAACTACAAAACGGTACTTGTTAATTACAGTTAAAAGAAATTATAATTTTTTTTTCTGTTTGCATTACAGATGTTGAAGGTCTTTTTTCACCTTAACATGCCTACTGCATCTCTACCTGTCCTCGGATATTTCTTTCCTGTTATTTGTATGCAGATTTGTTGAATCTAGGTTGATTCGATCTATCCATCTGCCTTGCACGTGTTTTTTTTTGTCTAATATTTCTATATTAATTTTCGTGAAGAGGCTTCCAGATGGAATTCTATGAGCTTCTTGCCCCACCCATCTTAACCTCCTTGCCTTCATATCATGAGATATTGATTGACCAGTTTCTGTTAGCAGCTCTTGGTATTTGTCCTCTATTTGTTACGCCATCTGACTACATGAGATGTCAATAGTAACCGTTAATTTTTTTTTCCTGTTCAGTTTTGTTTTTTCATCCTCCATATATGTTATCTTATTTTTGCTGTCTTGATGATGCCTGAATTGCCGAAACGTTGGTGTATGTTATGTATCACGTGTATATTAGAGACAGATCGCTTTATATTTTGGATTTTTCTATATATAACATAATCAGTTTGTCTCTTTTTTTTTTTTTTTCTTAGCTGACTTACTTATTTTAGTATTTCTTTTCACACATATTTGTATGAATAAAAAAAGGTATTTTCATGAAACATTTATCATATAGTTTATATTACAATAATTCCCAGGTCAAAGACAAAATAAAAATAAATTAAAGCCACTAATATCGAATCACATGACTAGTGGTGAACCTCAAGTTACTACATAACATAACTCTTAACTTAACTAATTTTAACTCAAAGCTTATTGGACAAGCTAGTTTTTCTAAAAGTGAAATAAATGTAATCTAATTGCGGAGTAATTAAAAACAAATAGCATATAATCAATTTATGACAAATAGAAATTAAAAGTATGGTCTCTTAAAAATCTCTCTTAAATGGTTTTAAGAAATACAAACTCTACTTCCATTTGAAGCCAAGTTTGCCTAAATCGTTGTGAAGCAAATGTTAATTACTTTTTTAATTATCACTTTCTATTTAACAAAAAAAAGTGACTTACTTAAATAAAAAAAAAGAGCGCAAAATAAATTGTTTACTTCTCAGTGAAAATTGTATCATGGTTTATTTTTTGGAGATCTTGTGGTATGTTTTCACGTTTTTAAATATTACGCTTTACATACCGGATACTCTATATACATATTGAGTAAATTAAAAGTATCGGTCCAACCATTCATAAAATAATCATGAAAGACTAATAACAGATAGAACAAAGGCCGAAAATATGTTTTCTTAAACTGTTCAAAACTTTGACCCTATTTCAATACCTCCTTTCCTTATTCAGTAGATAGTATGAAAATAAAAATTAAATTGAAATTGACCCTATCTGAGGAAAATTATCTTGAAATTGCCTTCGATAAGGAATGATCAGTTCATTACGGTGGGGTCACGATTCCAAGAAATTCTTTTCCGGATTTATCGAATTCAATTAAATCACCGAATCGCTTTCCTCTTGATTTAATCAATGATCTGAGAATAACGATCATTTTTAAATTGTTCATTGATGAAATTTCTCTTCTAAAGCTCGTTTCTTAGATGCCAACCATTCAACTAAAAAAACCTGACACTTGAAAAAACAACACTTATTTTTATTTATTTATAATAAATAACCTCAGAGATTGTTAATTATTTATCACATTATTAATTTTAATCATTTATAAATACTTTTCAATTAATAATAAATAATTGTTAATAATTTATCGCATTAATTACAATTACTTTACGAATGAATGTACCTATATTTTTAATTTACTAATTATGTATACGTATACAAAAGGTTTTCTGTGAGTGAAAATAAATATTTGCTTTTGAGAAAAAAGATTTGATCCAGAGTAAAAAAAAAAATCAACAATTTGTTTTATTATAAGTCTACGTCCATATTTTATTGTTATTGTTCGACAACTCGAATTTAATCAGAAAATGTATAACAATCTATTTTATAAATAAACAAATAAATTTAAAAAATCTAGAAAATTACACCATTGGTTTCAGGCAAGCTCATTACATGGCTTATGTCGTTAAATAAAACAGTCGTCAATTTTTTATACTTGCAAACAGACCTGAAAAAATGCATACAAGGTTGCATATACTTAAAAGTATTTTTATTTATTTAGAAAAATATATTTAATTTTACGACATTAATTTACTTAAATTGTATTGTATAATACTCCATTACTTCTTAAGTGTATGTAAAAGTCTGTGAAGTTGTGGTTAAATATTAAAATTACAAATAAAATAAAATTAAAACTAAATATATTTTCTTAAAAGAAAAAATACGCTTTAAAAAACAAAGCATTAGAATTTTTCATTTTATTGATATTTTATACTTTATTAAATTAAATGATAGTACGTTTAGCACGTCCGAAATCAATAGTATAAAATTACAGACCTTACTAAGGGTTTTGTTAAATCAATAATTCAAAATGTTTTATATTATCTTTGTTTATAATGTAGATGTGAATAAAAGCTCTGTTATTTTAAAAAGAAATACTTTTTTTAACTAATAATAAAAAAATCCTATATTTTCAGTAAAAAAATGACATACTTGCGCATTGAAAACAAGAACAATATTCAATGTGCAATACTGTTGACGTTTTATGAATCAAATTCCTCCTATGTGTAATCATAGGTTTTAAATCGCTTTTTGGAAATGTCATTCCTCTGGAAAAAAACTTTCGTTAAATTCGAAACAGGCCATATGAATACATTAAAAATAAAGCTTATTCAACGAAAAAATCAGTAGTTTGTAAATTATTTTTTGTTGTATGTTATAAAAAAAAAATAAAATATATATATATATATATATATATATATATATATATATATCATTTTAACTATTCTTTCGGTAAAACATTATTTTCTTGTAAATAGATTTCAATAAAATAAAAATTAGAATTTTTAAATTAACATAGTTGGATTGTCACTCAAGTGCTTACAATTGATTTTTTAATATTAGAAATATTTTTTGGAGAATCACCCATGTAAAATTGTTTGTTTATTTGTTATTTTTCATTGCTTACCCAACGTTGCAATGGCTGATATGTTCTTTAATTCAAGCGGACGATGTTTTCAACCTGTAATAAAAAATAAATATAAATAATTAAATTATAACAAATCAATTCTTTTTTATCTAAAATAGAATTAGTTAATGGCTAAACTTATATTAAAAAGTTTTTACAAAAATAGTCCTAATCATTTTTTTAAATTCTTTAAAATTTGGCATTTTCTAATACTTTTTCAGATAAACATAGAATACTCTAATTTAATTATTTTCTAGATGGGCATAGAATTGTACCAATCCTTTACATATAGTAACTAAAATTGTCGGATATTAGTAACAATTTAACCTTAGTTTTTATTCAAAAATTCAGTTTTTTTACCAGGATTGGTCTGTGCCTTGCAAGAATTAGCTGGTCTTGGTCTTGTTCTTCCAAAGTGCAATACCAAAACCGATTTTGAGCAACAATATAGGCATGCCTTATATTAAACTGATGATACGTTTTGAAAAAAAAATTTGTCAATATAAACTGGAGGGCAGGTATTTTTTTGAAGAGCAAATTTAGCAAAACAAATAATAATAATTTTTATTTTACTCAACATTGAAGACGCATATGACAATGGTATAATATCATAATTATTAAGTGCGTAAATTTCTTATTTAATAATCAATACAATTTAAAAAAAAAACAGAAACATCAAAAACGCCAAGGGCAAAAGAGCAAAAAATAGAGGAGCAAAAAAACAGAAAGAAATTTGGCGAACAGCCGAAAGGGCTTGTAGCGGTAATTAGAAGGCCAGAGGGTCTGGATTTGTGATTAAAATCCACGAGCAACTTTTTTTATCTCAAAGAAATCTGAGTGAGGCAATATACTTAATGTTGACGAGTCCTTTAAGGTTTCTTAAAATCCCAGTTGTTTCTTTAGTAAAAAAAAAAAATTAAAATACAAGTCTCTTTTGCTTTTCAATTTCAATTCAAGAAGATAATGATCCGGGAATCAGTGATTACAAATTGATTTCCAATGAATGATTCATTGACATCTGATTTAGAAAAAAATCTAACAGTAAATTGCTTATTTACTGAGGTAATTTATTATAAAATTACTTCTGATTGTATTGAATTATGTGCTTGCAGGTAGAAGAGAAAATCTCTAAAATTTGAGCTCCATTAGAATTCAAGTGATAAATAATGTTAATAAAATTTAAATTTCATTTTTGGAATAATTAAAAGAGGTACATATTACGATAAACGCTTGCAATGTCAGTGCCTCTCGGATGTGAGATGTGTTCAAAATCCAATGACATATTTCTGCCATACAAATATGATACTCTTAAATACCTCTCTACTCTAATTTATAAAGATGTGTTAATAAAAGCAAATAAAATAGATTTTAAACTAGATAGTTTTATTCAGAAATAAAGGTTGAAAATAAAAATAAAAAGGTGTAAATAAAAATTTAAATCGATCTTTGATGTTTATCGATTCGATTAAACATAATCACTCACTGAGTTGTACGGTTTTATATAAATAATAATTACATTGTAATCAATACATTTAAAAAAAAATAAAAATCACTTTTATGCACCTTGAATTAAATATTAATTTTCATGTATACGTTATTAATGTACATATTTTTTAATATCATATTTCTGAAACCGTTTTAATTATGCAAGTGGTAACTGCACCATATATATGTATACATATATATGTTTTTTTGTAAGGCAGAATTTCTAATGAATTTCGGAAATAAAGATTTTCTGTTGCTAACAGTTGAGAATAATATTCTCCACCTGCTACTCTAGACTCAAAATATATCATACAGATTACAAAAAAAGTTATATTTCTTATTTAAAGAAGTATAACTCACGAATAATTATTGTTTTAACTGTAAAATTTTGTTTAAAAATAATGATCAGGATATGTTTTTTATCACTTTTGATAAAAAATATAAATATCTATTAATAAAAATCATCAAATTAATTTAAAAAATTGTGATCAGATTTTTTTTTTTTTTTTTTTAATGTTCAATTTCAAACCCTGGCAAAGAATTTAAATGACTTCAATGAACTCATATTTGTGGCCTACCACACTGATAGTACATTAAATAATTTTGTTTTGGATTATATTATGAGATTACACAGAAATTATATTATCTTTCAATACCTAATAATGTAAAAGTTATGTTTTTACATATTACTTATGATCTTTTATACATAATATATATACATATATATATTTTTTTTCACGTCATTTTTCATTTGACAGCACAGTTTATGTATGTAATTCGGTGTATGTGTGTATATTTAAACATAAATTGAAATTCTCTTTTATTCATAGATTTGTTGCTCATTTGTTGGAGGACCATATTTTTTATTCCACTGTTTTATTTTGGCTTTTTGATACATTTCCTTTGATTATTATATTATTTAACTTTTTAACTATGCAGCGATTATTTTGTTTCATAATATTTTTAATTTCTTATTTGTATTATATATAATTGTAGTATTTTGTAAATAGGCTCACTGGTTTGATTTGTATATATAGTTAATTTACGTAAAGCTTTTTATTTAACTAATTTTTTGATGTAACAAATTTTCTGGTCAGATGTTATTCTTTTTTTTTCTGTAATATTCTGTTATTCTTAATGGACTTCGTCCCAGAATAAAGCTGTTTTCTATTTCTAAATGTATTCGAATTAAATATGGACAAAATGGTAGATTTTGAGAAGCGAGTCGGATGTTATTTTTGTGTTGGTTGTTATCACTTAAATAATAATTGTAAGACAATCTGTGCCGTTATGATCATGGAACACGTGTAGCTTAGTGGGTAGTTTACCTTTGTATCCCCGTGTGTTAATTACAATCTTTTACGAAGGACTTTACATGTTAATTTTCACATAATACACGTGTCTCTATGAAAGGGCAAATTATTGATTTGATGTGACCATCTGACCTTAACATGTTTCACCTCTGTAATATTTATAATAACATTACTAATTATGATTGTTTAACATAATTAGATGAAATTGATATTGGATCATTTTTCCAATAATCCCTAAATTTTCTCCGAATTCGACTTATACATTTTTTTTAAATTTATTTATTTGTCCTTATTTATTTATCCTCCCTCGCCTTTTAGGCTATGCGCTGATTTTAGTAGGCCGGGAGAAAGTGTTGGGGATGAATTCAACAATTTATCTGCTATCGAGTTGCCAGGCATCGCTGTACTCGGTCATTTCACCCCATTCAAAATCCATTTTTTTTTTTTTTTTTTTTTTATATTGATGTGCCTAGGCAAAAGTAGTAGAGAGAGTATGATAAAATTGACACAAACTCATCTGTATACCAATCCTTAAAATACCTCGATATTTCATCGAAATTAGATCAATGATACAATCATTATATGAATTTTTTTTCTATTTTTGAAGTAAACACATTTTTATACGCCTTTAATGTTTTTTTTTGTGGATATTGAAAGACAAACAGCCATCAAACTCGGATATATTCGGTTAAAGTCGGCTCGAGTCGATTAAGTTTTGCGTTTGGATTAAAATACCTCAGGAACTAAATACTTGCATACTGTAAAAGAGGGAAATTTTTACCATTCCATCCTCTTTGTAATGAGCTAAAATTAAAAATACAATTTAGACGTGACGCCGCTTTAGATAGTCGGAGAGTGCGCGAAAACCAAATAATAACGCCGGCTTTGAATATTTGGACTAAATTATTTCATTACCTATGATTTTGAATAAAGATTTCTATGTAGATTTCTCAAAAGGCACATTGAAGCCTTTAGTTATTTTTTTGAAATCAACATTAGATTTGAATATGTCCAACGATTCAAATGAAAACGAAATATGGTATGGTACAACGATTTATTATTATTATTTGTTTGTTTGTTTCGATGTCTAGGCACAAAATATCCAAGTCATCAGCGCCAGATTTACTAAATAACGTTATTTTTATACTGTTTAGGTGGTTGGTACATAAAGAAAAGGATTTAAAAAAATAATAAGGAAAAAAAATCTGCAAAGGATCATTAGTTATAAATTTCTCATATATTGGCTAGATTAGTTATATATAAACCCTGTTATACTAAATTGGAATAGAACCTAATTTATCAGTTATACATTAAACAAGGACAAGTGTTCTTTTGAACCAATGTTTAGGAAAAATCTGGTCCGGTGCGTAAATCACACAAGTTTCACTTACCACCTAACTTTGAGTAGATTAATTTATTTTAAAAAAGTAATATACTTTTATAATATTACTTCAACTATAAATATAAACCTGAGAAGGAATTAGTCGAGGGTGCGGTCAAAAAAATAAAAAAAATTAAAATATATAAATAATTTTAATTTTTGCCGACGTTTCGACCCACTTTGCAGGTCGTCTTCAGGGCGTTGGATGTGGCACTGCGGGAGGCGGTTGAAACACTGAAGTTGAAACCAGTGTTTCAACCGCCTCCCGCAGTGCCACATCCAACGCCCTGAAGACGACCTGCAAAGTGGGTCGAAACGTCGGCAAAAATTAAAATTATTTATATATTTTAATTTTTTTTATTTTTTTGACCGCACCCTCGACTAATTCCTTCTCATATCATATCAACGGTCAACCAACTCTACATCATTATAAATATAAACCAATGATTAACATATAAACCTATAGATATAAAACAATACTATCAAATACATTAATTATTATCCATTACGTTTTGATGAGTAACATTGTATATAAGTTTGAACTTGTAAGGGAATTAATTTAACTCTCCAAGTTAAATAATTAATGTAAAAATGAATGATTCATTTTAATAATATTCTTAAATCAGGAAAGTATAGGTTATTTTATCGTTCTGAAGTTTAATTTTTGATTAAAATTACCAACTTATATTGATGAATAGTCACAACCAATGTCGCATTCATTAAAACTCCAAAAGTGTGACGCAGCGATATAATTCAGCCATGACATGAACTAACTCGAAACTCATAACCGAAGTGGAACTCGCTCCGAAGTAGTTTGACACCGATTCAACTGTGAACTGCAACATAAGCTCTATCGAATTACAAAATGAAGTACTTT